GCCCTCTTCACATAACACATTAAGTGTTGCTAAATTAACCCATTTTAAATATTTGCTCAATAGATTGACCTGATTTCACACTTTAGATTACACCACAACAATTAAACCTATGAAGATATGCCAATTAAAAGTAAGTAGATGTGAAAAGTTTATTTTACTTAAGTTTAATTAAGCTACCTATATTTGTACCACTTTATTTTAGCTATTTTCAGTTTGGTTGAGAGAGGCTGATTTGCAATTAGGACAAAAATTTCTTGCCAAGTTTAGCTTATTATGGATTTAGGGTGACCTGAATGACCTTCCCTCCCAATGACGTTTTCTACAAAGCAATCCAAAATTTAATAGAAAACTGTTCCCTGTTTATTCCAAACAAAGTAATTTGGTGAGATCTTACAGTCCTAAAGTCCTATTCTTCAGAATTTTGCTGAATTTCAGTTCTCAGCATCTTTGATTTAGATCCAGTGGCTGCAGATTTGGGGTTGGGGGGGGGGAGAGGAGGAGGCAGGAATCAATTAGTGAAACCATAAACATAAACAATAATATGATTTCAATTTTTGTCATAAGGTTTGGGGTGTTGAAGGTTTATTCATTTTCAAATTATGTTAAACTTAATAATTAGAACCCTCTGGCAGTGGAACTGATTACCCAAAGAAAAGATTGGTTCTTTTTCATCAGATGTATTCAAGCCCTTTGCCTTAATATAAATTAGGTTGGTTTTGAGGACTTCCCAATTGGAAATCCTAAACCAGAATATTCACTTCCAATTTTGTGATGCTGTTTTAAGGTATAAAACATACGCTTTCCTTAAAGGTGAACTTGACACTTTTTCTGGATGCATTCATGAAGTTTACAGCATTATGGAAGTGACCTGCCATTCCCTTCTTTTGGAATATTTTTCAACTTCTCAATGGGGATTTGAATACCATCGGGTGCTCCCACCCTAAGACATTTTAAGGTAGATTTTTCATGTATTTCCTGCTTCAGGATGACAAGAAACTAAGTACTGTAGCACAGTAATTTCTTTAATGCTGATACAAGAAGCTCTGAAGACTACAAGAAAAATCACAAAGTGGATTGGATGCAGTTTAGTGATTACATGAATACACGAGTAACTTCCTTTCATGGTGCAGAAGCCTTGGTGGTGCAGAGGTGAGAATGCAGTATTGCAGGCTAACTCACTGCTCACTGCTCACTGCCAGGAATTCGATCCTGACTGTGCTGCCCCATTCCCCCCCCCCCACACACACAAGCATGTACGGCAAGAGTTCTACAGGTGATTATTCAATACTCCCCCAAACAGGTCCTCAGAAAGCACTCCCATTGCATAGGTCTGGCAATGGAAGGATGGAAAGCTGAGTCAACCTTGAGCCGGTGAGGATCACACTCCTGGCAATGAGATGAATTAGCCTGCAATACTGCATTCTAATCGCTGCACCACTATGGCTCCTCAACCATTATAATGGATTGGGTATTTTTATTTACAATAGTACATTTAAAATTTTCATTCCTCTATGTGCGTATCTGCACTTTAATGTCATGATATAGAAACACCAAGAGAAATAAACCAAATAGGGAAACACATTGATAAATATAGATATCATATACTGTAAACATATAAAGGCATTTATACAAGATCCTACATTTCAATTTATCAAGAGAGCGATGAGCACAAGTTTCTGCTTTGTGCCTAAGGCAGGACTACAACATAATCTCCTGGTTACTAGCCCAATGCCTTAAGCACTACCTCAAACTGGCTCTGAATGGCTCCCCAAATCCGTAATTTGAGTTAAAAAACAAAATATTGATTAGCCTTATTCATTTAAATTCAAGTGTTATATATAAAAGTTAAACATTTTTTCCTATATCCTACTAATAGACCCTGAAATTCAAAGCATTATTTGTTAACATAAAAGGGAATTTTGAAGAATTTTGCTATCTTATTCCATTTTAATGCACAGTATTAATGTCACTGATTAATTAAGATTATTTATAGCACTCAATGTGATTCAGGGCATCTTTAATTTAAAACAGCTTCCATAGACCATAACATTTCTACCCACAGATCAGGTTTTTAACAGTTTAAATTGTATCAGCATATAGCTAGATGTATTTGTTGAAAAATACAGCTGTGTGGAATGTAGAATTGACAGAAAAAGATGCCAGGCATCAATGACTACCCTATGCATTTTTTTCTGATGTGATATAGCACTTTACATTATTATTAGTGATTTAAATGTCCTATGTATACATAAGGTATTTCATACCCATAAATGTAAATGTTGTTCACCATCAGGAATAGAATATAATAGAAGATAATATTTGTAGCTTAAGATTGAATTATGGAGTCCTTGGTGCTCTCTGGTTGTTTTCTGGTAAACATTTCATTACACAACTAGGTAACTCAGTGCACATCTGCAAGAAAACAACTAAACTGAGAGACCATTAAACACTCCACACAACCAGGTTAATTATTCTACTTCAAAAGTTTAGCTAACAATACTGGAACTCAAAAAATCCATTCCTGAATACACGTTATATTCTCCTACCATAGGTAATGGCTTTCTCCAACATACTTGACTTTTTAAAAGGCAGTCAATGTGTGAATCTAATACAGGTAGTCCTTGACTTACAACCACAACTGAGACCAAAATTTATGTTTCTAAGCAAGACAGTTGTTAAGTGAACTTTACCCCATTTTATGACCTTTCTTACCACCATTGTTAAGTGAATTATTGCAGCTCTTAAGTTAGTAACATAGTTGTTAAATGAATTTAGCTTCCCAATTGACTTTGTTTGTCAAAAGGTCACAAAAGATGATCACATGATCCCCAGAACATTGCAACCATCATAAATATGACTCAGTTGTCAAGCATCTGAATTTTGATCCTGTGACCATGGGGGTGCTGCAACAGTCATAAATGTGAAACATGGTCACAAATCATTTTTTTCAGTGCCATTATAATTTCAAACAGTCACTAAATGAATTGTTTTAAGTTAAGGACTACCTATAATATTAAATTACTTGAATAATCTTGGATATAATATTCAAGAATGATTCCTCCACTAAGAAATATCCTCCTCAGTGGATATTTAGAATCAGTTCTTAAAGGATTATTTCACGATTATAACTACATTTACTATGAGAAGGCAAACATATTTCAGTTCCATATATTAAATGAATCACACTTTTTTCTGCTGAATAGCCTAAGGATTCATTCCACATAATTTAAAAAAAATGGAAACTAATTTGCAATGTGATCAGAACATTGTCTCTTTGAAATAAATTTCTCAATTTACCAATAAAATAGGAATAAGAGGTTGTGAGATGGGAAAGGAATATTTTGAGCCATGAGGTAAAAGAGTTAAAGAATCTTTCTTCTCCTCAGTTCTCTACAAGAATGCAAACTCATAGCTGCTTTCAGCTTTAAAAATAAAACATTGGAAGAAGAGAATATACATTGCAGCATTCATGTGTGGTTAAGCCTTCATTTGATTATTAAAATGCTTTCTTACAATTTTGATCATATTTTCAGAATCTGATCTTAAAACACCGGATATAATACTTTTCTGTAAGTGTGCCAAGCACAGTCATAAAAAGGGTATTTGTCAAACATGTTATCACATTTCCAGCTATGCAGAAGTAACCCCACACTGGGTTTAACAGTTGTTTCTCACCCACCCCCCAAAAATACAAATTTTCTCTCATCTAATCTTCTGAAATCTCATTCCCAACTGCACTTTATTTAACTGCTTCCAAGATGCATGACCTATTTTTATTATTATAAAAACAAATAGCAAACAACAACTTTAAACAAGAGGTGATAATCATAAACCTTTTACATTTTTGTATAAAGATTTTCAAAGAGAAATTACAATACAGTAGTATCTGTAACAGTTGATACATCATGATATAAATGTTTGTTTGAATATTAGTCTTACCTGAAACTGAAAAATTGCAATGGGCAAAACATGTATAGGTAGTTCTTGCTTATCAACTCTGTTGTTTAGTGGCCATTCAAAGTTACAATGATGCAAAAGAATGATTTATGACCAATCCTTGCATTTATGACCACTGGTGATGTGATTGCCTTTTGTGTGCTTTGCAACTTGCTTGCAGCAAGCAGAGTTAATTAGAGAAGGTAGAAGTAAAATCATAAGTCACAGTCATGTGAGGTTTCACTTAATGACTGCAGTGACTTAATGACCAAATGGGAGTGCGGTTATAAACTTCTTGCAGTCATGTGATTTCTGCTTAGTGACTGCTGTGGTTGGTGATGGAGTTGTTGGTCCCAATTGTGATCACTAGGGAAGAACTACCTGTATACACATTCAAGCACTACTGTGCAGAGAGTCCCAAATTGTGAATTCTATTTCTGAAAACACTGAACTTTCTTCTTTCAATCTATGGAACCTATTCTGGTGGGGTGCAATGTAGACTAGCCTCCTTGTGGTGCACCCCGGGCAATGTGACTTTATCACAGCTAAATGATCTACACCTTCTGGCTGTTGGACCTCACAAGGATTTCCCAGCAAGAAGCAGCAGCACGAGTATGCTGTATTCTGTAATGAAATAAATAACCTATTCTGTTTTAGTTGAGCATTTTAAGCTCAGTTCAGGAAGTTTCAGTGTCAATCTTCTAACCTGGTCAAGGCTAATCATTCAGCTACCTTAATGGTTATAATAGACATCATCATACTGGACTTCAGAATATACTGTATAATCAATAGTTGGCAGGTGTGAGGTCTCTTCCTTTGCACCCAAAGCCCAAATTCAAAGCTGAAGGAAGAACAATATTGGACAATGGAAAATGACCATTAGAAATTAATCCGTTCACAAATACCAGTGCCCAAGAAGAACCATGCATGTGGTTATTACTTTAAGAGGGGTAGTTACTTCCTACCCGCAGTGCTCCAAAGAAGATCCACTTTCTTTCACGTGCGTTTACCATGGATTCTGAGCCAATGGCCCCACTAAAGAGAGATCCCATCTTTCTACTTACTCATGCCTCTCAGGGTGAGCTCAGGCCCTTCAGGAGGGCTGGGCTGCTGCACATCACATGTCTCTTCCTTCTGAGGAAGGCTGCTCTTCTCTTTCTCACCCTGCCACCTGGTAGGCAGAAAAAGCACAACCAATCAATTTCTCTTCGTATCCATAATATATCAGGGCTGTGCAAATATTTAATTTGCAAACAGTCTGAAGGTGATTCACTGAGTCATGAAATCAAATTTTCAAACTGAAGTAATGATTTATTTCAAATCAAAATAGACACCTCTTAATTCAATTCAGACCAATTTGCATATATATCTCCAACTATCTTAACACAATGCACAAAAGGGCTATAATTATTAAACCATAGTTCTGTCTCTTGCCCGGCACCTTTATAAAGAAAAGACCAGGTTCTTCTAGGAGGAACCAATTTTTTTGATCTAAGGTGCCAAGTCACATGATCCAAACTCACATATCACATATAATGAGTGCAGTACATATTTTAATTGAATGAACTAGCACTGGCATATGACTGCTCTTGGCATATGTCAGAGCAATTCTGAAATTGTTATGATGCATATATATCTCCATGAGCATATAATCTAATATGCCATTAGGATGCCATAGCAAGCTATCTACTGCGGTCAGGCAGTAATGCTATCTGAGAACCTGGAGAAGCAATACAATAAATAATTTTACTACAAGCACTTGTCTGTATAGATCTATTCAAATCAAATTCTTAACAAGTCTCACTGTGTTAATGAATTTGGCTCTAAGTGATAGCTTGTTTTTAGTGCTAGAGTCTAAAAATGGAGTTGTTCTTCTCCACCTTGGCTCATATATTTTTTTTTTGTATCAGTCAAATGCTAAACTTTTTCAAGAAAACTAGGGCTAAAAGGATGATATATTTCCTATGATGCATCTTATTTAATAATATTTGGATAATGGAAAGCAGAACTAGATATTTTTTTCTATTCACCTTTACATAGAAAACCATAAAGGCAGGATAAAAATCCAATAAATAAATAAGAAGATACATCCTAAGAAAGAAGTATCTAGGAATACATACCCAGTGACACTTACCGATAATGAAAAGGGGCAACGGTGGCCATAATGGGATGGTTGTGCTGTGGCAGAGAAGAAAAACTGATGGGTGCTGTATGTAACACAGGTCCCTTATTAAGGCTGCTTGTATCCAGTGAGATTGTTTGAGGATTATCTTCTTGCTTAGATGTTCCATTTTCCTTCCAGTTGGATTCTGAGGCTGATGGACCTTTTGCTGGACAGCTCTGAGGCCTCTTTGTGGCAGATCCATCTGAAGGCTTGGACATTAATGTCTCATTATACAGATTGAGATATGAAGGGCTCTTCCCTGGAAGATGAGCGGTCTTTGCAGGTTCAGCAATTGTGCTGGGTTTTCCAAGGACTTTCACAGCAACAAGACTGCTATTACTTTCACCTTGTTTAGAGATGTTCTTTACTTTCTCGTTTGTCTGAATAACAGCTTTCTTCACAATCTTGGTGGTTCTGGAATTGGCCTTTGGTAAGCTCCAGGGGTTAGTGTAGCCAGACACCAAACCTGAACCAAGGCTAGAATCCATCTCCTCTGTCTCACCATGGCTCCCAGGTATGTCTGTTTTCTCTGGTCTAGGGTTTGCAGCAGCTGCAGCCTTAACCGCAAGCTTCTGTTTCGATCCTTTAGGAGCTCCACAGGTTGAGCTTGCCTGTGCCTTCCCTGTCCTGGGAGATGATATTCTTGGTGAGGAAAATGCTCCCACACAGTTCTGTTTAGGGGGCAGTTTAGGAGATGCTGCCAAAGTATGTATCTTGCTGTGAGATGCAGCTCTGGGAATAGGTATAGAGGAGGCATAATGGCTGCGTCCAGCTGCATTCACATTGGCTGTTCCATTCATCATCAGCAAAACTTGTACAGAGGAAAATCAATCTGAGAAAACATAAATCAGAGCATATTAAGTCTGGCGCGTCAAAGTCAAACCTGTTCAGCACAAGGATGTGTATGTCTGCAAGTGAAAATCTTTCCATCCTTTTTAAATTTAGTTTTAATTTTACATTTCCATATTACTTACCATTAAGACAAAAGATTGCTAGCTGCATAACACTGAAATTGCTATTTTCTGTCTACATAATACTGAAATCAAGCTCACCATCATACATAAAGACAATAAAAATAGTTTTTAGAGTGTGCTAAATTTAAACAATATTAAGGTGAGAATAGTCTTTGAAAAAAGCTTTTCGGTAAAAGATAAATTACTAATAAATATTTGAATTTGAATAATTTCAATAAACAAAGGTCATTTAAATCAAATCAAGTATGGTGTATTGATTTCCTTCAAACTGTCAGTTCAACTATTCTTCAATTTTATAAAAATATCAAGCTTTTCCTGACTTTTATACAGTCCCTCAAATTAATGTAATAGATTTACTCCAATCTGGTTTGCTGAAAAACAGCTCAAACGTAATTACTATGTCATTTAGCATGATAGATAGAAGGTAAAAGAAACTAACACTTCTCTCTGCAACTATTGGTAAACTGCTCCAGTGGTTTATAAGCTGAACTGAATTATGTAAAGAAGTAATATTCCATTTGGGTAACAGCATACTAAATCTGGTTTCTTTATGATCATACTAAATTAATATAAGGGAATCAGTTCTTGAAAATAGTAAGACCATTACTACGTGTAGATAATTTACAATTAGATTCATAGTCTAACACATGTGGAGACTTAATAATTCAAGTCCTAACCAAGGACCTATGAATTATTAAGGAATTATTATCTGTTCACAACAACGTGAAATCATAGCTGCCAATTCTTTAGCTAGTGTGGGCCTTCATTTGCATCAAGTTCTCCCCAAGAACCTAAATGTTGTAATATATTGGTATAATATATGCATGGATCCACACAGTGTGGCCTGTGCAATGACAGATAGAAAATTTGTCAATGTGCAGATTTTATAGGTGCTGTACAAGATATTTTGATATGGCACCCACTGTGCTGATAACCACCGGGACCCCTATGGTAAATTTATGCCCTCATCTCTCAGTTTCAATTTTCAGATCTTGATACTTGTGGTCTTCTCCTATTCTACTATCTCCTGGTGTTTCCATACCATTTATGCACATCTTCCTCTTTTCAATCAGTTACAAAATTGATAGGTTCAGTAATGGTTATAATCAATATGCAGGACTGATTCATATGTTGTAGTCATGCACTATGGCAGTTCTCATTCAAGCAGAAGATATTGTACATGAGTACATGCATTTTAAAAAGTAAGAATTGGACAAAGGAAATGGATATTGCATACGTTTATAATAGCCCGCAAAAGATTCTGCTACAAAGTTTGAAGGATGCCTATTCTCCATTAATTATGTAATGGTCTGATTCTTTTTATCTCTTTCTATATTCTAAAGTATTTTAACCAGCAATTTACCATTGGAAGTCCTGATTAGAGAACCATTTATAAATTTGGACAATATACACTAGCTTATCTTTAATTTCCCATGTTTTTCTTTTTGTTGTGTAAACTTGTTCCACTATTTAAAATTTAATTATATAATACAATATTAATACACACTCTATCAGTATATAATAGTTGTAAGTTTTGGCAGCTTCTTTTTTCTTTCATTAAAAAAAAGAGAGAACTAGAGTTTCTCTGTTGCTGTTGTTCGGCTTAAATGCCTGGCCAGCAGTGATTAACAGGCTCGAATCTGCACATAATTTGATTTGTTTCCCAGCTGTTTTTGAATTAGCAAAGGACCATAAAAGTCTTATCATTCTTTAAAAGAAAAATAACTGCAAATGTACTGTTGTCAAATTTGCAACAGGGAAGGAAAATATGTTGTCCCCAAATAATAGAAGTGCCAGAAAGAAAGATTTTAGTCTTAAGGTACAAAAGAATTTGGCAAACATACTCAGAATGTGAGAGTTTTACATTCTACATACGGGAAGGAACTACTTTCAAACTAAAGGAAGGAAATAAGATTATTTATAACATGTTTTGGGAACACTAATGGGAGGGAGGAGATAAACTGTGTTTCTGAGTGGCATCACTAATAAGGAGATGTTCTGAATGTTATGGAAAACAAATACATTACAACTATTTGTTTTATAGACCACTTTTTTCCAATTTGATCTCAAGGCAAAATACACAATGCTTCCTTCTCCCATTTTCTCCTTGATAAAAACCATGTGAGGGGGGTTGGGCTGAGAGAGAATGAGTGGCTCCAAATCACTCAGAGCTTCCCAAAATGCAACTGAATCTCCATCTTCCTGACCTTACAGAATTAGGATTCTGTTCAAGATTCTGTTGGACACATGCTTATATTTTATGAATCCCACATGATTATTCAAGACTTGTTTTATACAATGTTATTATTATATGTTGGTGCTTTACATTATATATAAAGAAACAGATTCTTGCATCAAGGAGTTTACACTCTAGAGCTACTTCATAATGTTAACACTGACAGTGTTTATACATTTTACAATTGATATGAAACACAGCAGTCAAAATGTACTAAGATTTCAATTACTAGCTGTTACCCAATAGATAGAAGTGCACTGACTTCTCCACTATTTCCAATAATATAATATTTTGACAATTTTTACAACTCTGGATAGAACAAAAAAGATGCTTATCAAATTTGAAGATGCTATCAAGTTAGTAGGATTGATTTACACCTCAAAGGACAAAACTCCTAATTCAATTATCTTGATCAGATCAAAAGGCTGATATACACAATGAGAAATATTAGGTCTAGCATACAGTATGTGGGAAAACAGGGGCAAAATTATGGAAGTTTGGATAATAGCAGTATATGCCCCAAAATTCTAGGATCCTTAGTAGTCTTATCACTTGAATATGAACAAGCAATATAGAGCTTCAGCAAAGATATATGCAATCTTAGGCTGCATTAACAAAATAATGGAATTTATAGTATATGATTTAAAAAGATGCTTTAGTAGAGCATGAAGCACTGTATTCCAATGGCAGCAGGTATATCAGTATGTATATTTTATTTATTATTTTATAATTAACACTCCTATGCCATTTTATTCCAACCAACTTACAGCTAGAGCATTGTGCCCAGTTTTGAAAATCATACAGTACTTTTACAAGGGACAAAGAGCAGATTCAAAAAAGAACTATCAGAGTGGTACGTTATCGGGAAACCTACGTCCAATATGGAACAATTAAAAGAGTTGTTACACCTAATCTGCAAAAGAGAAATGTGAGAAAAGATATAGCAGCAGAGGACAGGGTAATCTTGTTCTCCATTAAAACTGTAATCAGGACAAGAAGCAAGAGGTCAACATTAGTAAATAATTCAGAGTGAATATTAGAATTTCAGAGAGTAAAGCAGGTGAGCAGCAGAATAATCTCTCTGAATCCACTAACTAGAATTTTTCAAATGGAGAATGGATTAGATTTTACATTAAGAACAGGAAAAAATATCAACTGTCCAGAAATCCAACACCATATTCAGTAAATAATTATTAGCAGAAGCATCATACTTTCAGTGCAGCTAGATATTTTATTTTACTTGAGTTAGAGAATTTAAAGGGCCTAATGCTGGGAAAGATTGAGGGCAATAGAAGAAGGGGATGACATAGAATGAGATGGCTGGCTGGAGTCACTGAAGCAGTAGGTGTGAACTTAAATGGACTCCAGAAGATGGTAGAGGACAGGAAGACCTGGAGGAACATTGTCCATGGGGTCGCAATGGGTCGGACATGACTTCGCAATTAAAAACAACAGAGAATTTAAGCTTCCACTAGGGACTTGTTTTTGTTTTGTTGTATTTTGTTGTGTTGTGTTGATTAACATGGCTGCCCTCTGGAATATCTGTCCTGCCACTCATTTTAGTCAAACTTTCTGTATTTCTGATAACTGATAAATGACTGGAGGAACAGTAGATTCACCTCACACTTAACCTATATAACTATCACTCCTCATATGTTGCAATTCTGTACGTGCAGAAATGCAAAATTCAAGTTGTATTTCTCACCAGATGTTTGCTGACTAAAACATCCTTCTTTCATACACAAGATCCTGTATTGCCTGCCAAACTGTTACTCTGGAACTGGAAGGCAGACTCACCAAAACTGTGCTTATTTATGTCACTAAGATTTAAACATTTCTGGTAATCAAACCCTCTCCACCCTATTAAACTTCTCAGAATATAAGGAATTTATCAATGGCTCCCTAACAACCAAACTATACTGAAGAGAATAAAAGAAAGAGAACTATTTTCTACATTGATCTTAATTTTCCCTTATCACTATTTCAGACTATTCCTCCAGCTGCTATCTTCGCTCTCAGCTGGCTCCATCTGGAAGGGCAGGAAAGAGCGTTAATTCCTTAGAGGAAGTTTGCTCTGGATTTTATTTTAATGTTTTTTCCCCATGATACTTCAAGGACACTATTCTCAGTAGCTCATTTCCATGGGAAGTTGGCACCACCTTGGAAGAACAGTTCTGGAGTAGATACATATTACAGAAGCTAGTTTTCTCAAATGTCAACATTTGTATCTTCTCCAAAACCAAGAGAAATTGTTATGTCTTGATAGTTCAGGGTAAAGTATTTATTTATTATTTAAATTTATATGGTAACCCATCTCAAATCCATGACTCAGACTAGCACTGAAAATGTTATCAAGTTGGATAATGAAATGTCTGTAGAAAAACAACCAAGTTCAATGAACACCAAGGACTCCACAGTTCAATCCTGAGCTACATATATTCTCTAATACTGGTACAACAAATTAACAAAAACACTGAACCAGCTTTGCCATGCATCCAGATTCCCAAGCAAGCCTGATAACAAAGCCACATCCTTGTCTACTAGTCCTGAGGGATTGTGTTCCAAAGGACTGGTGCCATTTTCAGACTTGGAGAAAAGTTACTTCAGAAGGTTTTGTTTGAT